TTAAATGCTAAAATGGGAAGAGAGGTAAGAAAGAGAGACCTCATATGAAGGGAATCCCCAGTGTGGAAGATGCAGCAATTTTTCATGCCCTAAGCACTGTGGCTTAGGACAAAACACACAGAGCAGCTCAGTGTCCAGGGGGGGCTCAGAAGCCAGCGTCCATCTGCTCAGAATGAATGTGCGCTGCAGGCTTGCTACGTTTCTTTTAAGCACACACACAGAAATCAACTTGCTTTTACAACAAAATAATCAGTCACAAGTGCAAAGAGTGTTCATAAATACACATCTTCTGAAGGGCTCTTTAACAACTCCACACAGGGATCACTTTTGACTGAAATGGAGAGGTCGAAGACCACGGGTATATTCCTTCTCACCTCGTTAATGTGGATAAACATCTCTTTCACAACTGTACAGCCTCTAACAGTTTAGGGATGGTTAGCCACAAACCCTATAAAAATTATCTGGTCTTGAAATAGCAACCTTTTTTTTCCCTCCGTCCTCATTTACTGGTATATACCAGGGCAGCTTCTCAACTGATGCATATCATCGTACCTGTACTAATACCAAACATGTTGGGCCAGTTACAACCTTCTGAAGATCTGACCCTTCTCTGCTGTCCTGGAAACAGATCTGTAGTCTCTGCAGAAAGTAATATTCTTTTATACACACACAGATGTAGATGTCCTGCCCCCACTGGCCCATATTTAACTCTCTTCTCATCTTGTTTATTTTGTCTTCGTGGTCCCAAGCAAGCTGCACACCCAGCAACAAGCCTGCAGCAAATAGGTGCATCTTATTTTCAGTGGATGGCCCTGACAGGGCACAGACTACATCCCCAGGGGATTCATGAAGAGGGCCAGGTCAGAGTCTCTACAATTTTAATTTCAGTTCATCGATTAGAGGAATTATGCTCAAACTTGTCTTTCCCAGTGCGGTTGGAGCAGACACAGGGATTCGCAGGTAGAACGGGAAGACGCAGCATGTGGCGACAGCAGTCACCGCTCAGTACCCTGTCTCTCTCCTTCCCCAGAGATGATGGACAGCTGTGCGCTTCCT